AAACCTTTGACCGAGTTTGACAACTTGGTAAGGGACGAGTTCAATACTCGGCTAGGCCAGTACACTTGCCCCCCAAGCACCGAGTAATGCAAGAGCGAAGGGGCTTCTGAGGAGCTCCCGAGTTCACTATTTACTCAAGTCGGTAAACCTTTGGTCGAGTTTGGCAACTTGGTAAGGGACGAGTTCAATACTCGGTTAGGCTAGTACACAATTTATCAAAATTAATTATAGTACAAAGACAACCTTCACATAACTCAACACAATTGGAGTTCCACTAATCCAATCAAACTCATCATTATCTCATACGAAAGATAAGAAGATTATCTACAACTATGATGACTTCAAGTTCTAACTCCATCATCATATATAGTGAAAATCACAAAAATCACAACAATTTGTTTAAATGTTTACAATTTGACCTTTACTCACTAAAAAGGTCATAATTGGAGTTCTAGACATCTTTTTTAGGTCCTTTCAAAGCCATTGGAAAGCTAACATCTAGGACTACAACTTTTATGAAGACAACAAAATCTAATTTAGAAAGAACCAAACCGTTCAATGGATTCCTCCCAGAAACACCCTTGATCCTGATCTCCAATTCTTTTCAACCATTTCAAAATGGCTTAGCCATTTCATGACAGAGACAATATCTTATTCTTCATGATTTTTGGGTTTCGAAACTTCTTTATTCCATCCCAAGCTTCCTACAAGCTCTAAACTCAAATATAAACCATAAAAGCTCACCTAAACAACTATAATACATCAATTTCCAACAACAAAACAACTCATAAGAAGAATTTGGGTAAAAAATCAAGGTTTTTCCCCCAAAACCCCAAATACCACAAAAACTTCAAGAAACTAAGAACACCAAGTCTCCTTACAAATGAATTTAACATTTAAACAATTATGCATCAATGAGCATTCCTACCACACATGCAACATGAAAATTCACATGATCATCCACCAAGATCAAGTTATAGTTTCCCGTACCTTGATTCTGAGCTTCCAAAGTGAGGAGAGAAAGAAGAAGATAAGAGAAACGGGAAAAGGAGAACTGCGAGCTTTCGATCTTCACACCACACCAGAACAATGATCTTCCAAGGTTTTAAGTTCTCTTACCAAGCTTCCAACAACAAACTTCCACACTAAGACCTCATGCGTCAGAGTCATAGAGAGAAGGAGAATGAGAGGAATATTTTCTTGAAAATGAAGAAAAAGAACACCTCCCTTCTTTATCTCAAGACTTATGCCTAGCTCTCACACATCACAATTTTACACAAAATAGTATTAGTCATATATCTCATATATTAAAATATTATAAAGATAAAAATTAATCAATATCAACATAATAATATAAAAATCCCTTCTTAAATAACGAATAAAAGAAAAATAAAAAATATATAAAATGACATTAAATGTTAAATTATAATGTATTTTCATTTTTTTAATTATTACTTATAAAAAAAATATTTTAAATGCATAACTAACTTGATTTCAAAAACAAAATGAGGTATTAAAACTATTAAGGGTGTGTTTAGGAAAACTAATGTATAAGTTCTAATAAAATAAAATAAAAAATAATGTATAATTTAATTGAAAACTTGTAAGGTATATAAAAGTTTGTAAACTAAGATTGAATTAAAAATAATTGATGACATCAACTAATACACAACTTGATACATTTAATGTGACATGACATATTTAGTTATTATATGTATGCGTGTGCACACATTAATAAAGATGACAAAAAATTTGTATCTACCACATATGTAAAAAAAAATAAGCTTATCCAACATTATTATTATTATTATTATTATTATTATTATTATTATTATTATTATTATTATTATTATTATTATTATTATGTTTTCGTTAAATTCAATACTCTTATCAATTTTTAGCTAATATTAATTTAGTCGACACTAATCTAGCTTTAAAAGAACAAATAGAACACAACCTTTAATGAAGGTCATTCATGAAGTTTTGACAAAGACAAAAAGTAATTGAATCTTAGTGAGAATCATTTAAATAAAGACAAAAGTAAAACATAGTCAAAATTTGATGAATAAGCAACTAAAATATTAAAGAAAAAATTATTTTTAAGTTGTATTTTTTTTTAAAATCTTCTATTATGTAATTAATTTTAATATATTAAACACGAATCTTTATCTTGTACAAAAAATATTTTAAGAATTTTTTTTCATTGAGATTTTTAAAGAGTTTTTTTTTAATAATCTTTTATCTAATTTAATTTTTATTTATCATAATTATTTTTCAACTCTTATATATTAAACATAAATCTTTATCTTATACGAGAACGTTTTTAAAAGTTTTTCATTTACAAGAAAATTTTTAGAATCTAATTTAATTTTAATTTATCATATTTATTTATGAATTAAATTTTAATATTTTTAAAATAAATTATCAACTAATAAAAATAATATTATGTTACGATTTATCATAAATTTAAAATATAATTTATATGCTTAAAAATATTTATTTCTACAAATTTTAAATATAGTTTATATATTCAAATATAATATTTATATATAACTTTTTTTATAAATTTTATTTTTATATATATTAAATATTTTGTCTATGTATTATAGAAATTAAAATACTAGTAGTTATTGATCCTAACTATGTTTAGTTCATTGTGAGTAACTTGGAAAATGCTTAAAAATAATTCAAGATAAATATAAAGTGTCTTAATGAAAAATATCATCTAATATTGTGAGTATCAATTCGAATATATGGAGTTACAAAGTAGAAATTTGTTTTTTGTGTGTATACATTTATGAGAGAATTGATTCTCATGAAAATGAATCAAATCCCCTAAACCCAGATTTTTATTTATAAGTTTTATCTCTAATAATTCTTTCCTTGATGAAATAATGATTTGCACAATTAAGATTTTTTTATATATAAGATCTATTTTGAACATAAAAAAATTAAATCTTTCTGATTTTTTAAAATTAGTTTCAAATCTGTTCGTATTATGCTTACTAAATCAGATAATCAATCAGTAAATACTAACCAATTCTTTAGGTTGCCTTTGAATCGAGAATTTTAAAAGATAAAAAAAAAATTAAAATAAATACAAAAGATTAAAAATATAATTTAGCGTACAATATTTAAGATAAATACATATTTATATATAATTAAAATTTATAAGAATTTAATATTTTTAGATATATAAACAAAATTTATATTAAATAAATATCTTCTACATTATAAATTATATTAGTATTTTAGTTTTCTCTGTACATAAAATAAATATTTTTTACAATTAAAATTTATAATAAAATATTTTAAGATGTATTTCAATACTTTAAAAAAAAATCATCAATAATATTAAAAATCCTTACATTTCCATTGACCACTTTAAAATGAAAAATTATTTTAAGACAATTTTACTTTAATAAATAATTTTAGAAAATGCCTTACTATGATAAAAAGCCTACAAGTATATTGTACGCTACACAACGCATCCTCAAAAAGAAAGAAAAAAAAAAAAAAAAACTATGCAATGCATGCTTAAATATTAATGTTTTCTTCAATAATGTATATAAACAACTGTTATATATATATATATATATATAAGTGACACGTGATTGTTTTATAATAGGAAGTACACACACATTGGGTGTTGTGACCTTGTGAAAGGACAGAAGGGTGGGTTTTTTCTTAGACAAAGACATGCTGATGCTACAATATAATTTTTTAATAAATATGATATTAGTATAAAATATTTATTATAAAAATATTAATTAATCTTTATTAAAAATTATAAATATATAAAATACATATTTTTTATATTCAAAATTAATTCCAAATATGTTAGTAAAAGATATAAATTCAGTGTTTTAAAACCCGGACCGACCCGGCCGG